GAGACAGGAATAAAATGCTTTGCACGCACATCAGGAACTAATTGCCAATTTGGCAAATGCATTGACTAATGTCATGCACTGTTATTTCTAAATCCTCTCCTGTCCTTGACCCCCAGTATCTAGATGTAAACTTGGAACCATTAGTGGAGAAGGATAAAGTCTTCTGGTGCCTCAAATGGAATTGAGAGGGATTTAAACTAGGCGCTTTTGAGCGTGGTGAAATGAACCCAGCAGTACATTAATGCTAGGATTTGAGCTCACACAGCGTGAGTGCTTTCAAAAACCGTGTTTAAGGAAGCAAACAGAGCCACGACAGACCCTTTCAGGGGAGCAAAAGGAGTTGGATGAAACAATCAATGACACATTAAAAAACCACAACTGGGCTGCAATCATGTGGGCAGAAAAAAAAAGTTTTTCTTTATCACAGGATCTTTGCATCTAACGAGATGGTGACTGGACAAGGTCCAGAGGAGTAAGGCCTCCGTTTACTTTACCTAAGAAATGTCTAAATATTTAGTTGATTCTCTTAAAAGCCTTATGTGAGCCTCTAGCAAACTGGTCTTTAAGGTATGATCTTATTGGCTCTATACTGCCATTGGCAGAGCTTTTTAAAGGAAATGTGGAAAAGTCAGAAGACATTACCACTGAAAGTACAAATGTTAACTTTTTTTTCCCTCTCAAAATTAACTCTTTTTAATGTCTTCCAAATATTTCGTTTAGGACCAATACTTTGCCAGTCAATACTTTCTCTTAATTATTCCTGAAAGGTTCATCGTTCCTTGCTGTCGTCATGCAGTTGCTTAGTCGTGTCCGACACTTCTGCGACGCCATGGACTATAGCCTGCCAGGCTCTGTCCGTGGGATTCTTGAGGCGATAGTATAGGAGTGGGTTGCCATTTCCTTCTCCAGGGATCATCCCGACCCAGGGATCTCTACCCCTTACGTACATTTTATTCTTACCAGGTCCAGTTGGGCCCAAAGTATTTGAGACTAAAAAGGGGAGGGTCATTTTCTTGGGAGCAGGAGAGGAAGCTAAGAGGCCTGAGAAAGCTCTGTAAGAATGCCTATAGGGGTCCACCCTTTAAATTCACACTACTGTTGCATTGGCAGACTTCAGTCAAGACCAATATCCAGTTTGCGCTAAACTTCTGCGATCCTCTGTGTCAAAAACCCAGTGCGTCCCAGACATGGCATCAGTTGGGGCTTTAAGCTTTTTTAGACTTTCTCCAGCATGCCTTCTTTATCACTGCTTCCTGTGGACTCTCTCTAAGGGTCACGGAACTTCTCCCCTCCCCCCGTGCAGGAGGCCAGCACAGACCCCTATTCCCGCCAGTTTGATTAATGTGTCTTGGCTGATTGTGTGCAAGATGGCAGGCCTTTAGCAAGTGTGACCAGTTTATTGTTCAGCCAATCACAGGCGCCTCGGTTAGCATGTGAAAAGGGGGTGTGTTGCTGGGGAGGGCGAGTGTTCTGGCGGCTGAGTCAAAGGAGGAGCGTTTTGGGGGGTCACGGAGCAACACCCACTTCTTTGAGGGGATGTTACTATGCTCTACTAAACCTGTAAACCTCTTACTCAAAGCACTTTTTTTTCTCCTCCCTCTTTTTTCAAGGAGATCTTTTTTCCCATGGTGCAAGCAAGGCAAGACTGGCTACTCTGCAGATGGAGTTCACGTTCCAGGGTTTTTAATATTTCACTTTTATATTTCTGTTAGAGAATGATCCTGCTGAGAGTCTGGGAATCCATGCTCGTCAGAACCCCCTCACTGACACTTGGATATATTGCTCTGAAAGCTATCCCAGGAGAAAAGATTAAACAAAAAAAGCCTACTTTTCAAAGCCTACTTCTCAATCTGCCCACATCAAAATAAGACAACTGGCCCTTTGAAGTGGAAGACACAGAGTTCTCAGCCAGCTTGCTTAAAATGGGGGGTGGGGGTGGGGGAGAGAAGGAAGGAAAGAAAGAAGGAAAGAAAGACTAGGGTATAAAATTATATGCCTCTCTTTCCTCGGCCAGATTTAACCTGGCAAGGCAGTCTGAGTTGATGGTGAGAAAACTGACAGCCCTGCTCATCAGCACCCCAAGAAAAGAGGGGACTGGTCAGAGAAACCTGTCCAGCTGGGTCAGCACCAGGTGTTTTTTAAAAAACCTGCATAAACAGAAACTGCGTTGTTCATACATAGTCCAGACAAGGTCTGGAAACGGCAGAGTGGACACAAATGGACACTGGATGGTTCTCTAGGCTCTGAGCTCTCCAGCTCCCTCAGTGTGATCGTACTGCTGAATTCAAAGTTTGGGGGCCCATGGAATGAAAAGGAAAGGAATGGAAATCTCATCAAGAATGGTGTTAAGAGTTCTCTGTGATCTGGCTCCCATCCCCTATTCTGGTCCCTTAATCACTGGAGCTCAAGTGCCTGCAAGTAGCAGCAATGGCTTGTGGATAGGCGTAGGTGGGGGATGGCTTGAAGGGACTTCTTAACTCACATAAGGGGATGTTCCTGGAACACAAATGTGGGTGGTTGCTTTAAAACATACTCCTTATGATTGAGCTATCAATAGTACTGACCCCACGCTCAGGATATGCTGGACTTCTAAGATTTACAAGCTCAAGTTTACACATCTTGGCTGTGACTAACGTTACAATCTGCTTCCCTCCATAAGCCTAGCCGGGCCAATGGTCTATACACTGTCCAAGCCCATGGAAGTGGGGTTTGCAAATGAGCACCTTCTCATAAGGAGAGCTGGTGAAAGACTGAGGTTGAGTGACTACAAACCCAATCTCTTAGAGATACAGGAATGTGCCAAATTCATCTGTGCAGGCCCAGCATAAAACACAATGCCTGGCAGATAGTAGGTGCTCAAAAAATTTTGACTTATTTGAATTAAATTGAATCCTTACTAGAAAAACAATGCAAAGTATGAACCCTATTGATGCTGGGCCTGGAGAATTCTCTTCATAAATAAAAAATTGCATATTACTTTGAAATGACAACAAAATGAAAAATGCAACATATTTCTCGCTGGTTCATTGGAACCCAGTTATCTTATTTAGTACAGAATCTGGCAGGAAAGCATTTTGGACAAGTTCCTTTCATTATTGTTCTCACCAAGGACCACTGTTTATTGCTGGAATCAACCTGAAACCCAAATACTTCAAGATTGAGGGAATAGCATATGCTCACCGTGGCAGCTGTGTCTTGAGATCATTCCAATTATTTTCGACAATCCACCTGTGACCCTAAACTTCTGCCTGCACCTACGTTAGGAAGCTGAGGGGTCCCATTTTCACCTGGAGAGCAGAGCAGGTAGGGAGGGGTACAGGCAGGGTGGAAAAAGATGAGACCCAGGTTCTCCTAGAAACTGAAGCACCTGGAGACAGGCTCTGTTGTCAGCTGGACCATCATCTCTGTGAGAGCCTGGTCTCTTTTCTCTCTGTCTCAGACCAAATGGAAAAGGCATTATTCCAAGCCCTGAGGTGAGAGAGTGACATTTTTCTCAAGTGCTAATTATAAATGGCAAACTATTTGTAAATGACCCAAACCCCATCTAGCAATGCATATAGATCATTCACAAAGCAACTGAAATGATTTTAGAGATGGTCTTTAGCTGCTGTAGGTATTCCATAATCCTAGTCAGTTCAAGATGACTGAACCCTATGTACAGCTGTTTGAGTGAAAGTATTAGATGCTGGAGGAAAAAAGAAAATTCCTAGCCTCCTATGTCTTTTGTTTTCCACTTTAATTGCTTTTTAAATTTTCCTACAATCTCTTACTCTCATAAAAGTCCTTCCAGGATAACCTCATACCAAAGTTAGTAATGACAACAATTTGGGGAAATTCCATTTTTAGTCATGGGACAATGGGAGGATATAAAGACCGGGAAAGCAAACTTGGGCCATTTTCTCCCTAATCATGTACATATCTGAAAGTGAAACTGAAAGTCGCTCAGTCATGTCTGGGCTTTTTGTGACCCCCATGGACTATACCGTTCATGGAATTCTCCAGGCCAGAATATTGGAGTGGGTAGTCTTTACCTTCTCCAGGGGATCTTCCCAACCCAGGGATCAAACCCAGGTCTCCCGCATGGTACATATCTACCTCCCCTTTAGTCCTGCCTTCAAGAGTCCAGCTCTGGTATGGCCATGATGTGGTCCTTCATCCTATAGCTCATTGCTTGCCTCCTCTCTTTTGTTTCAAAGTCCTTGAAGTGACAACTGGGTAATCTGACCTCTCTGGCATGTCCTTGGGACCATTTCTCAAAAACATCCTCCTTGGAATACTTGCAACACTTCCAAATCCACCCCCAGGAGCCAGTCTTGGAGGACCAAATATGTGACAAAAAATGAATAGCTCATTGCTTGCCTCCTCTCTTTTGTTTCAAAGTCCTTGAAGTGACAACTGGGTAATCTGACCTCTCTGGCATGTCCTTGGGACCATTTCTCAAAAACATCTTCCTTGGAATACTTACAACACTTCCAAATCCACCCCCAGGAGCCAGTCTTGGAGGACCAAATATGTGACAAAAAATGACAAAGTGTTAGGTCTAGGGACAGTGAATGAATTCTTGTATAATCTAGAGACATCTTACCTGGCCTGTCCTAGGCCCAGGGAGCCTCTACTTCCCCTCTAGCTTTCTTTTTATACTTTATGAAGTACAATGATCTAGCAAATAGACTCAATGATAGTCATTGGGCTCAAAAATGAGACCCTCTTTTGAGTTTTCCACTTAAACCATTGGGTGTTTGGAAATGGATGTGGAGTCCACATTAATAGTCATTCCCAATTGTTATTCCACTTGTTACTTGTGTTTTACAGAGTTGGAAAACTGATCTAACCTCAACTAATATTTCAATGTTTTCCTCATAAAAAGATAAGTCAGGGAATATAAGAGTCTAAAAAATCTGTCTACACTGTTAACAATTAAAGGAAAATACCTCGTTCATGTGGCCAGCGCTCTCACACTGGTAACTCACAGAGCTTTTGGAAGCTCAAATCAAGATTACCTGGGTTGTAGTTAGGTAGCTTGGAAACTCCAGGCCAGGTATCCTCTGTGGGGACTCCCAGCACCTATATAAAGACAAAGAAAGATGCGGGGAGAGATGGAGTGGATGCAGCAGGTGTGGAGACGTGGAGGACACATCGGGGAAGAACAGGGAAAAGCTGGATGTATGTCACATTGTGCCAGCTGATGTGGGCAAGAAAGAAACTTTAGGGTTGCCAAAATTTGCAGTTTCACAGGCAAAACTGCAGTATATTTCTATGGTCCTGTGTGTCAACTTGACTGGACTAAAGGATGCCCAAGACAGTCGATAAAACATTATTTCTGAGAGTGACTGTGAGGGTGTTTCTGGAAGAGATTAGTATTTGAATCAGTAGACAGAATAAAGAGAACTGCCCTCACCAATTTGGGTGGCATCATCCAATTTGTAGAGGGCCTGAATAGAACGAGTGGAGGAAGCACAAATTTTTTGTCTCTCTTTTTGAGCTGGGACATCCATCTTCTCTTGCCTTTGGAGCTCCTAGTTCTCTGGTCTTCAGATTATGGGATTTATACCAGTGGCCCCCTTAAACTGACTTATACCACCAGCTTTCCTGGTTTTCCAGCTTGCAGAGGACATATCTCAGCCTCCATGAAATCAAACGAGCCAATTCCCATGATAAATCACTATAACACACATATATATATGTATATAAAATATCATGGGAATTGACTCACGTGTATACACACACACACACACACCCCTTCATATCTCCCATTGGTTCTGTTTCTGTGGGGAACCCTGACTAATACAGATCATATAACCTTACTTAAAGTCATATTCTTATCCCTAAATATCTACAGGCATACCTCAGAGATATTTTGGGTTTAATTCCAGACCACGACAATAAAGCTAATACTGCAATAATGTGAGTCACACAAATATTTTGGTTTCCCAGTATATATAAAAGTTATGTTTACACTCTACTATGGTCTATTAAGTGTGTGACAGAGCAATGTGCATACCTTCATTTAAAAACTAATGTGCACACCTTAATTAAAAAAAATGCTTCCTTGCTAAAAAATTGCTACCCATCATCTGACAAGNTGGTCTATTAAGTGTGTGACAGAGCAATGTGCATACCTTCATTTAAAAACTAATGTGCACACCTTAATTAAAAAAAATGCTTCCTTGCTAAAAAATTGCTACCCATCATCTGACAAGCAGCATTGCTGCAAACCTTCAATTTGTTTTTAAAAAGCAATGTCTGCAAAGTGCAATAAAGTAAAGCACAGTAAAACAAAGTATGTCTACTGTATGCAGTGCATGATCACCATACACTGGGATGCTATCTTTGGAGTTGGAAATATAGAAAGATGTTGAGTGGCAAAGTGTCCCTTGGCCTTACATCAGATAACTCTCTCTCTATATATATATATCTCAACAGGGAGACACTTGGCAGTTTAAATTATGCCTCAGCATGGGCATTCAGCTGTTCACCAATGTGCTCAAATTAAAAGGGATTCAGATTACTGACCTTTAGGCAGTGGAATGTTGGCTAAAAATGATCCTAAACCTAACCCTAGTCTTTTCTACTGAATTCATCTTATCTGCTTCCCTTCTCTGTGGCCCAGCAGTTTGGAATATAGTATTTGGTTTTTAACTGGTGGATCATAATAGTAACAACATTGCTTGAAAAAGAGCTCATTATGCTTTGAATTACTAAACTGAAGCTTTACTTTTTAATTACTATGAAAAGAAAAATCTTTTGGAATTTAAAGTCAAAACACTTCAGATTTTAAATGATTCTGTTACTCTGAGTTCCCTTATAGACAAAACCTTACTATTCTTTTAAGATAATCATAAATGCTCAATGTCAGTTGGGAGCTAGAATAATATTGTTTTTGTGAAATACTAATAAAACATGAGTAGCTTTCATACACCACTACAATATAGCTCTTCTGGGAAGCATACCTCAATACAAGTCTTTTTATTAGCATCTCTCATAGAAGAAGCCTAGGGAATCCATTTGTAAAATGCTGGAGACAGATGCTGGGCCAGTTGTTACGGCAGGAAGTCAACTGCCCACCAATGACTGATTTCCTACTCCGGGTGATCTTACCAACCTAGGGAACGAACCTGTGTCTCTTGTGCCTCTTGCACTGGCAGTAGATCCTTTATCATTGCACCACCTGGGAAGACTCGACTGATAAAAACTGATGAGGAATCTGGAAGCCTCCTAATATCTACCAGTTAACCGACTAGGACTCTGGCTGAGAAGTATACTTTGCGGTGCCTGTTAAGCTTGTCCTCAAACAAAAGACACCAAAGTGCCATTTTCCCTCATACAATAATAAAAAAAATTAAGCCACCTAGCAGAAGCTTCTTTCTTTGATCCATTCCCTAAACAAATTGAAAAGCTACTGAGAGGATTATGAGCTTTTCCTATCAGCCACCCTGAGCCAGAGGGAACACTGAGAATCCTGGAATCCATTTTGAAAAACCAACTGGACTAATTCTTCTTTTGTGGGAGAGGGCCAAAGGATGGGGGGTTACTTCTTCTTTGCTAAAGTGCCATCTTATGTATTTGCACAGATGTGTGTGTAAACAAGTGGGCAGAATGACTCAAAAATACCCCTACATCTTCTGTTGCCTGGCAAGAAAATGACATGAAGGCAAAGATAATGAAGAGAATGCAATAAAGGAGATAAATAATGACCGCATCCATATTTTCTCTAAGGCAAAAGTTACCAGAATTGTTGGGTTACTTTGTATTATTGTGTAATTAAAGCCGACAATGGACACCAACAATTTTAGAATATTGTGCTAAAAGCTTTAAGCTTTGAGATTTTGAAAGTTTAAACAAAAATTCAATATCCTTTATTTGGAAATTTGATGCTCAGTTTTTATTTGAAAATTATTGAGTTCATTTTCACTTGAGAAAATTACTAAATCTCCACTTCACTGACTGGGAAACTGAAAACCAAAAATAGTTGATTTACTCTCTCCCTGAAGGCTCTTAAAAGGCAGTTAGCGAGTGCTCTCTTTGAAACCACCATGGGCTGCAGAGGCTGTTTTCCGCCTTTGTTGAAATGGAAACTGAAGGCATTTTGATTAATGGCTTTAAAGTCTGCATAGTTTATTTTATTTTGATTTTAGAGCTACATCCGGTATTATTTGCTAAAAATATTTATTGAAAGAATTAGATTTCTAAAAAATTGATCAAAAATTGATGACAGCCATTCAGGTGTAAACATACACACATACCTAGGAGTATTTCAGAAAGATGATAAAATAAAGATTCAGGACTTCTCAAGAATGAGATCTTAGAATAAATGTAAAGAAAAGTTGTGATTAGAGGTTGGGAGAGATCCACTAGTCCCTACATCAACTATCACAGAGCCTGAAGCAGCTTTCCCTTTTTGTCTATGTATACAATTTTTTGGAGAGGCAATGGCACCCCACTCCAGTCCTCTTGCCTGGAAAATCCCATGGACGGAGGAGCCTGGTAGGCTGCAGTCCATGGGGTCGCGAAGAGTCGGACATTACTGAGTGACTTCACTTTCCCTTTTCACTTTCATGCACTGGAGAAGGAAATGGCAACCCACTCCAGTGTTCTTGCCTGGAGAATCCCAGGGACGGCGGAGCCTGGTGGGCTGCAGTCTGGGGGGTGGCACAGAGTCGGACACGACTGAAGCGACTTAGCAGCAGCATACTATTTTTAGTAAAACCCAATTCAGGAGCCATTTGTAGTGTTTGAATTTCCAAGCTACTTGGGATGTAATAGTATAATAGACAACACACTGATGAATATGTTTCTTCCTTGTTCTCAGAGCAGGAAACTATAGATGTGGTAACAAAACTGGGGTCTCTACCTGCTTGGACAGAAGAAGGGGGGAAATGAGACGTAATGAATCTGACCTCCTGGTGCCCTGTAAAGAGAGCCAAGCAGTGTGGAACTCTCTCCTGATCAGCACAGTCTAAAGCTCAACAATGAGCTGCAGCGGCTGCTGCCAAGTCACTTCAGTCGTGTCCGACTCTGTGCGACCCCATAGTCTCTAAGCTTGAGAAATGACTTCAGAAGTGGAGGAGGGGGAGACTTAATAAGCAGAGAAGAGTGTTATAATTAGAAATGATAGGAGCTACAATATTCTCATAACACTTTGTTCAAAGAGGTCACAATTCCAGGAGTCAGAAAACCAAATACACCAGAAGACACTAAAGACCCAAGAAGTTAGGTCATGAGACTTGCTTCACCTCCTAACCTGAAGTTAGAGCTGAGTTCTGAACTCGTGACTCTAACATCATGCCAGTGTTATTTCTAATGTATTTACTAGTTTTAAATTGGTAATGAGTTGTCATAAATGTCAAAATAAAGTCCTTCTGATTTACTGCAGTGTGATAAGCATAATGTTAGACATGAACATGGCTTCCTGGGTAAGACCTGTGGGACCCATTTGTTAAGACGTGCTTGTTTTGGTTGCATCACTCATGTTTGGGTATTTTATGTCCAGATACAAGTCCAGACTTCTCACTTACTGAGTTATTAATACCTAAAACAACCTTCAGATGGCCAGGGACAGTCACCAAGACCGGTCCTGGAAACCTGAACCAATACCAAGAAAACCATCAGATTCTGGGAAGTGTCATAACTCATTCTTTCTGCTCTATGACCTCTAAGGGCTGCACTAAAGGCAAAGAACTATAAAATGATTGCTTTAAGAACACAATTCATTTAAAAACAGGAAATCATGTTTAAAAAAACCAATTTATATACAACTTTTCAAATATCCTAATGGGATACCTTATCTCACTATTATAATTGTTATTTACTATCTAGTTAAACATACATCTTTTGCACCTATACATAGTTCATGTTTGTTTTGCATGTATTTACTTATATACCACCCATCACCCCACCTAGACTGGACAACAGTTGAAAGCACAGATGATGCATTTTTCCTATTCTTTCCATTTTTCCAATGTCTTGTAACATCTTATAAGATAATGAGTACCCAATGATATTGCTTCCTGATTAAATGAATGGGAAAAACTTCTCAAGTGTGTAAAAGATCATTACAGGGTCAGATCTAGGCAGTGTTAATTGTGCTTCCTCTAATGTGGACAAGAAACTAACAGAGAGAATAGAACAATTAGGTTAAATATTAGGAAATGTCTGTCAACAGTTTGGTTGGTCTTTGAAACATCGCTACAAAAATTTCTCCGAGAGAGAAAGACAGCAAACATTTGTTGAGCACTTACGTCTCATGGTGCTTGATATTCATGTGATCGTTTAAAATTCTCACAGCAAGGTTATAAAATCATTATCACTAGCCCCATGTAACAAAAGAGGAAACTGAAGCTCAGAGGCACTGTGTAACTTGCACATGTTCATGTAGCTGAAAAAATGGCTAGAATTCAAATGTTCAACTTGAAAGCTGTTATTTACATTAGGCTACCTCCAGCTTAGATGATGTCATGGAACCCAGTGATACTTTTGGAAGGTAGCATTTATCGGTCTTGCAGGGAAATTTTCAGAAAAAAAAAATCTTCTGGCTTGAAATGTTTTTTAGTTTGTGAATGTTTCCCAATTTGTCCTGTGGTCCTCCATTATATCCTCCATGCTTCCAAAAGAAAGCTTAATGGCAACGATTAGTCTCTATAAAATATCTGAATTTCACAAAGGACATTTTATTTTAGCATTCACAAACCACTGTGTTTTCTGGGTCATGAATCTGTAGCACTAGCCCGGTTTGCACAGAATATCTTCATAAATATGAGTCATTGGCCCTCCAGACACTAGCAACTAACTCTTCCCTTTTCCTAAAAGTTTCCTGAGGATTATCCTCGCCTTCATTTGGGAAAATTCAACTTAAAAAAAATGATATAAGCGTTTTTCACATGAGCTTTAACAAATGTTTATTTACTTATTTTTATTTATTTGGCTGTGCCAGGTCTCAGGTGCAGCACAATGGATCTTTTGTTGTGACATGTGAGATCTAAGTCCCTGAACAGGAGTCAAACCTGGGCTCCCTGCATTGGAAGCACAGGGTCTTAGCCACTGGACCACCAGAGAAGTCCCCAGCTTCTTAAAATTTTTGATAAATGAAGGACTCCACAGTGGAAACATAATTCAAAAATGAAATTTTATATTATTCCTGCAAGGCAAAATGTTTGGTGACATTAAATCAAAATCATGAAGAGTTCGAGAAAAGATAAGTTTCCTCATCTGCACACAAAAATCCCGCTTTGCATTATTTCCCGAGATACCTGATTGGGAGGCTGTTAGCAAGAATGCTCTAGATGCTTGCTTGAAACAAGCAAACTTGAAAGGAAGCAGAATCCAGGATACAAGGAATACCCTCCCCACCCCAGTTTAAAGTACTTGATACATGCTACAATACGGATGGACCTTGAAAACATTATGCTAAGTGAAAGAAGCCAGACACAAAGGACAAATACTGTATGATTCCACTTACATGAAAACCTAGAATGGGCAATTTCATACAGACAGAATGTGGATGAGAGGTTACCAGTGGCTAGGGGCAGGAAAATGGGGGGCTGGTTGAATGGATCCAGAGCTGCTGTTGGGGATGATGAAAAGTTTTGGAAATGGATGTGGTGAGGGTTGCACAGCAAGGTGAATGCATTTAATGTTATGAACTGTACTTTTAAAAGTGGTTAGAATGGTAAATTTTATGCAATATATATATTTAACCACAATTTAAAAATCATCAGAAAAAGAGAGCCATATGTAAATGACTATCGCTGTTGTTGTTTAGTCGCTAAGTCGCGTCCAAATCTTTTGTGACCCCATGGACTGTAGCCTGCCAGGATCTTCTATCCTTGGGATTTCCCAGACAAGAATACTAGAGTGGGTTGACATTTTCTTCTCCAGGGGATCTTCCTAACCCAGGGATCAAACTGTCATCTCCTGCATTGGCAAGCGAATTCTTTACCACTGAACCACCAGGGAAACCCAAAACTATAAGCTACAAGGGACATAAAAATGAAGTACATAATGTGCAACTTCATGCATGTGCATGCTAAGTTGCTTCAGTCGTGTTTGACTCTTTGCAACTTTATCTATGGACTATAGTCCGCCAGCCTTCAGGAGCTCTTCCCAACCCAGGGATCAAATCCAGGTTTCCTGCATTGCAGGCAGATTCTTTACCACTGAGCCACCAGGGAAGCCCCAATGGTGCAACTGAGAGAGGGATAAATAATGAATAAAGAAGTGGAAACTCACATACATAAGCATCCTGTCACCTTAGAAATCTAGTTTTGGAGGAGCAGCATAAGTAGTATATTTCTCTCACACTAACATGGAAAGCTAACATTTTGTTTTATCAGGGCTCTGTGAAAATTTAGTGTTTTATCTTCAGTTGACAAAGATCCATGGCCAAATATGTGGTAGAATTAGAACTGGGGGTTGCAGGGAAGGGATGTGTTTAATTAGTAATGGCAGAAATTGCCCTGGGATGTTGAGGTAATAGTCATCGGGAGCAGGAGGATTCAAGGGCATCCATTGGACAAAAGGGGTGGGTTCCTGACCACTCATTTCCCAGGTGCTTAAGCCCCTGTCAAGCACCACAGTTTCCACAACCTCAAAATGTGGCTTAATCTCTCAAAGCAGATGGACTGCTTCATTTGTTTCCAACGCAAATTTGGTTCAAAGTTTAATATGCATATATATTTTTTTTTCCTAAGAGGAATTCTTCTCTTACCTCCCAGATCTTCTCCAGCTGTTCAAGGATGTTGGAAACCCCAGGAAACAAGGGTTGACCCTGGAACATTTCAATAAAGATGCAGCCTGCACCCCTAACAAAGGAAATAAGAGTCAACCCAATCCTTTCAAGGAAACCATACATGCAAAACTGAACTACTAGCATTTCATCTCTTAAGAAATATTTTGAGGATAATTAAATATAGGCCATGCACTATGAAAAGTCTTGGCAAAAAAAGTCCCTATGTTAAACAAAGATAAGAACAGCTGGCAGCTTTTTGTTAAAATGGAATGCATTGGTCATTTAGGATCACAGTATAGGTAGCAAACATTTTAATTCATTCAAGCTCATTAACTATTTTATGAGAGATGGAGAAAGTACCGAATCCCCAAACTGAATACCCTCTTTCACTGAATCTAAGGAGCTATCATTCTAAGAAGCATCATTATTGTATGTACTTTTAAGAAACCAAAAAAAACCCCCCCCAAAAAACCCATAAGTTAAACTATGACACGATCAGAATCTTTCTTTTATACTCATTGAAAGGGCTGTTACAAATTTAATCAGACATTATTTCATCAACTATCATACTTGTACAATGAAAAATGTTAAATGAAAGAAATTGATTTAGGTACTCGTCAAACTTTCTCACATTCAGTATTTGACTCAACTGTTTAACGTCTGTGTTTATTCATGATATTGTCCTTTGATGGTATTGTCCAGGAGTTCGATGATATAGCATTTCTTAAAATAATCCTTATTTCTTAAAATAAAAGAACTAAGAGTTATTGGGTGCTGGGCTCCTAGGCTGACCTTGCAATTACAAGTTACATTTTTGACTCCAGCTTAAAAAATATTGCTAAACATGTCTGATTCACTTATTCTACACAACCATTTGGTTCCTAAGAGTTAAAAAATAAATAAAGATATAAAGCTCTCCTGTCTTCAAAGTCACGGACTCCCCATTCAGCAGGTTTTGATGCTGACATGTTTGATGTCCACACACACACAAGGGAAACTGTAGTCACAACTGCAGCATGGTTGATGGCTATCCTAAGATGTTACTGACTGAAATGCATCCTGATTTAAACAGAGAATGCACATTTTAAAGGACTTCCCAGGTGGTTCTAGTGGTAAAGAACCCATCTGCCAATGAAGGAGACACAGAAGTCATGGATTTGATCCCTGGGTTGGCAAGATCCCGGGGAGAGGGCATGGCAACCCACTCCAGTACTCTTGCCTAGAGAATCCCATGGACAGAGGAGCCTGGTGGGCTACAGTCCATACGGTTGCAAAGAGTCAGACATGACTGAAACAACTTAGCACTCTGGCACCTGCATCTTAAATTGTCTTTCCTGCTTAGTCAAACTGGAGGGTAATTTCTAAGGAACAGTAAGAAGTAAGATTTTGCTAGTAACACACGTTTTTAACTCTCACAAACCTTTTTTGAGAATGCTTCAAGGGGCTGCCCTTGTGGCTTAGCTGGTAAAGAATCTGCCTGCAATGCAGGAGACCTGGGTTTGATCCCTGGGTTGGGAAGATCCCCTGGAGAAGAGAAAGACTACCCACACCAGTATTCTGGTCTGGAGAATTCCATGGACTATACAGTCCATGGGGTCACAAAGATCAGACAAGACTGAGCGACTTTCACTTCACTTCAAATAACTGATTACAGAGATTATCCCCATGGTCTAATACTTCCTGATTTTTGACTCCAAATCTCTTTCACTGTAACACATAATTTTGCAAACTCCTTTAATCATCTTGATGTTTTGCTGTAGCATGATAAAGAAGAAAATTTAAGTAAAACATTTTAGTATAGATCATCATATTCAGTTCAGTTGCTCAGTCATGTCCTGCTCTTTCTTACCCCATGGACTGCAGCACGCCAGGCTTCCCTGGCCATCACCAACTCCCAGAGCTTACTCAAACTCATGTTCACTGAGTCAGTGATGCCATCTAACCATCTCATCCTCTGTCGTCCCCTTCTCCTCCCGCCTTCAATCTCTCCCAGCATCAGGGTCTTTTCTAATGAGTCAGATCTTCACATCAGGTGGTCAAAGTATTGGAGTTTCAGCTTCAGCATCAGTCCTTCCAATGAATATTCAGGATTAATTATCATCATATTATTAAAGGTTTATTATGAAATTAATTTTAAATGGTTTTAATATTATTCATATTAACATAGTAAAGAATCTGCCTGCAATGCAAGACACCCAGGTTCGATCTCTGGCTTGGGAAGATTCCCTAAAGAAGGGAATAGCTACCCACTCCAGTACTCTTGTCTGGAGAATTCCACAGACAGAGAACCCTGGTGAGCTATAGTCCATGGGGTCTCAAAGAGTTGGACACAACTGAGTGACTAATACTTTTTCATGATAAATTTTCACTTTTCCATCTGACTGTAGATACATGCTATTTAATTTATCTTGTGTAGGAGAAAGAAGATTTCTTGATAAACAAGCTTAAGAATAATTTTTATGTTGTGTCTAGTTTGGGGAGAGAATATATATTTTTAAAAATATATAAATTTAACTATATCTTACCATTTCAAGAGACAATTTTCATGACTTAATATTTGGTTTGCATGTAAAATAATCTATTAACTTATTCTTAGAATTTTGTGTACATATAAATAAGAGGTATCAGACTGAGTTTTGCAGGTTTTTATTGTTCCCCTCAAACAATAGGTTGTCTTTATCCCCAGTTGCTAAAAAAAAATAATTGGATAAAATGTCCACTGTATGTGTTTTACTGATTTCTCATGTACAAGAGACATCTTGATGGGTGATACAAGCATTTTGGGAGTTCCCTGGTGGTCCAGTGGCTAAGACTCCACACTTCTGCTGCCAGGGCCTGGGTTCAGTCCCTGGTGAAGGAAATAGGATCCTGCAAGCTGTTTTACGTGGCCAAAGAAAGAAAACAGAATTTTAATGAGATGAATATCTCTTAAAAATCTGATGAATAGTATTTTGAGGTGAATTTTTAGAATTCAGTTCAGTTCAGTTCAGTTGCTTAGTCATGTCTGATTCTTTGCGACCCTATGAACTGCAGGACGCCAGGCCTCCCTGTTCATCACCAACTCCCGGAATTTACCCAGATTCATGTCCATTGAGTCAGTGATGCCATCTAACCATCTCATCCTCTGTCATCCTCTTCTCCTCCTGCCCTCAATCTTTCCCAGCATCAGGGTCTTTTCAAATGAGATAGCTCTTCACATCAGGTGGCCAAAGTATTGGAGTTTCAGCTTCAACATCAGTCCTTCCAATGAATACCCAGGACTGATTTCCTTTAGGATGGACTGGTTGGATCTCCTTGCAGTCCAAGGGTCTCTCAAGAGTCTTCTCCAACACCACAGTTCAAAAGCATCAATTCTTCGG